AGGGAAAAAGACTACAGTTGAACAATAAGGAACCAATATAAGATCTAATTTTTAGTTAAAGCAAACAACCTAACTTTTTTAAAAAGTTCTTATCACTTCTTTTAGAATTAGGAAAAAAGAAATCACTGAACAGAAGTAAAAGCTATGATAAAATTTACCTTCTGTGAAAAGAAAACCCCAAAGATGTTCTATAAAATTGTAACATTTTTAAACTGAATTGAGAACGTAAAGTATAAATGTAGACATGCTATAAACAAATTTGCATTTTAAAATAATATGCATGAGATCAATTTCCAGATGTTCAGAGGCCAGGCCAACCACTTCAGAAAGACTACCTTATTAACATGGTTATAACATTTATTTTTACATTCAAGACTGGTCAGTCCAATAAAAGTTAACTAGTTCTCAAATCCCTTGCTTTAGAATGTAATTTACAGCTCATAGTAGTTCTTATTCTTCACATCTTACACTTCACTGTCTGATGAATTGAAGTTTATGTCCAGCACTACACAGGTCAGACTACACAAGCATGAGGTTTCTTAGCTGACTGTAGAAGTCTATGAATGCAATAATTTTATGATTCCTTTATAACCCACACTGAAGCAACATAAACTTGATGCTTTCCCACTGCGTCATATATGAGAACAGTCAAAGGGTCTCCATGAAGAACGCTACTTGGTATTAAGGACAAAAAGATCATTGACCATGAGGGAGGTCAAGTTTAACTCTCAGCTGTGGTGATGCCTGGCTAAATTAAGGGGACTGAAATTTCCAAATGTCTAGAAGATTGGCCTGTCAACACAGCAACTGAAAAAGTCTTCAGTATGAAAGGTTCTTCAAACCTGGAAAGGTTGCTTGCATTTATTTATAGAGGACTTTGAAATTCAGATTCCTAGTTAGCGTTTTAAAAGAAGATAAAAGAAGAGTCAAGCAGAGAGAAAGACAGAATGAAAAAGTCTTTATGCATTAACATCTCCTTAGGCAGGAAAATAAACCAACCTGCAGCAAAAAGCAACTAACTAACATTAATGTCATATCAAAAATTTTCTATTGGGTGATACATATGTGCTTCAGGAACATGGTTTTCAATAAGCTGTACCCAAAAACAATAACAAATAAATACTGAGCTACACCTGAATTCAGGAAAATCATTCATCTGACATTAATGACAAAGAAAAAGGTGATTTAGGCTTTCCCCAAGTCAGCTGATGCTTACATCCCAATAACTACAAAGAGAGCAACACTAACCAGTAGTAGTCAAATCTTCTACAATACTGACCACGTACTGTAAGACAACTGATTTTTTTTTTGCACAACAAATCAATAGGATTTCAGAACAAGCCTCCAGGGAAGAGTAAAACTTGCCGTGCAGGAGAACATATGGCACCCTCTCATCCTCCTTGCTGGTAACTCCTACTCCAGCACACATTCCTCCCCAAATGCATATACATTTTAGCTTTGCTCATATACAGCGCTGGAGGGAGGGGGAAAGACTGAGTGCAATTCATCTTCCAGCTTTGCTTCTTCCCTGCGCCTGAAGAGACAGAGTCACACAAAAATAAGCACCATCTGAGCTCTGGAGGGGGAATATGTATCGGCACCCACTAACCACTGTAACGTGTATGCTTTATGATCAAAGAGAGCAGAATGAAAATAACAACACACTGCCCATCGAGCTTGTGGTGTGGGCACAGACTTCCATACTTGCACTCCTTAAGACTAACAGAGGCAGAAACAGTAGTACACACTTCACCATGGTTCAGCAATCCAAGTACAGCTGACATATTTTGGCATGAACTAATTCTGGTTAGATTAAACAAAACACTGTCATGGCTATCTTTGCTTCTCTCTTGTCCCTATTACATTGTAGAGACGCTCCCTAAAATGTGGGCTTCTAAAATCTATGCTCAGGTACCTCCCCAGTAATCCTGTTTTCCCAACAGTATTCACTGAGGAATTAATCGTTCCCTGCTGAGTTATGAAGTCTTTCACTCTGGAAAGCACACCATAGATCAGGCAAATCTACATCTGTAAAAATGAATGTCATGGGTTGACCCTGGCTGGACGCGAGGTGCCTACTAAGCCACTCTATCACTCCAGTCCTCAGCTGGACAGGGGAGTAAAAATATAACAAAAGGCTCATGGGTCAAGATAAGGAAAGGGAGAGATCATTAACCAATTACTATCACAGGCAAAACAGACTCAACTTGGGGAAAAATTAGTTTACTTTACTATCAATCAAATTGGAGTAGGATAATGAGAAATAAACCCAAATCTTAAAACCACCTTCCCCCCACCCCTATCTTCTTCCTGGGATTTACTCCTGAGTTCTCTACCTCCTCCCTACAAGAAGTGCAGGTGGACAGGGAATGGGGGTTGCGGTCAGTTCATCACATGTTGTCTCTGCCGCTCCTTCCTCCTCAGGGGGAAGACTCATCGCACTCTTCCCCTTCACCATGACATCCAGCATGGGGTCTCTCCCACAGGAGACAGTCTTCCATGAACCTCTCCAACATGGGGCCTTCCCATGGGTTGCAGTTCTTCATGAACTGCTCCAGCAAGGGTCCTTCATGGGGTCATGAGTCCTGCTAGCAAACCTCCTCCAGTGCGGGCTCCTCTCTCCACAGGGTCATAGGTCCTGCCAAGAACCTGCTCCAGCACAGGCTCCCCACGAGGTCACAGTCTCCTTTGGTTGCATCCACCTGCTCCGCTGTGGGATCCTCCATGGGCTGCAGGTGGATATCTGCTTCACTGTTAATCTCCATGGGCTGCAGGTGGACAGTCTGCCTCATCATGGTCTTCATCACAGGCTGCAGAGGGATCTCTGCTCTGGTGCCTGAAGCACCTCCTGCCCCTCATTCACTGATCTCGGTGTCTGCAGAGCTATTTCCCTCACATCTCGCTCCTCTCTCTGTTGCTGTTTCTGCAGCAGTATTTTTCCCCTTCAGTGTATTGCCACAGAGTCACTACCACCACCACTGATTGCACTGGCCAGAAGCAGGTCCGTCTTGGAGCCAGCTGGCTTGGTCTCTGTCGGACATAGGGGAAGTTTCTAGCAGCTTCTTACAGAAGCCACCTCTGTAGCTCCCCTGATGCCAAAACTCTGCCAAGCAAACCCAATACAATGAATCAGATGGACCTGCAAAACTCTGTACATCTGGATCTCTGGCATGAGATCTCTTAAAAAATTACTATGCTTTCCTCTCTTCTGCACTTTCAACATGTTTACTCAGCAGAAATGCTAGACCTACCTCAGAATTCAAATTACTGATTTTTCAAGTAATTGCTCAAACAATCTTCACCTTATTGTATATGGAGAAATACCACACTTAGTTAAAGAGCTTTTCAAAGAGTTGTCACCACAATTCTTCAAAGTTCATCTAATGAAAACTTGAGGATTTTTCTCATATTATAAAAATGCGTCAAGTTAGAAAGGTAAGATACAAATTTAACTTCATCACTGTAATAAAACATCAGAAATGTATAAACGGTTATGAAACCTAGAAAACCAAGCAGCAAAACCAATGTCTCCTTTTTTGTTGTTTTTATAACACAGAACTGCACTTTATGCTATTTGTTGCAATGTCTTTTTTTTTTTAATTCAGACTAGCAAATGTGAAGCAGCACCTTGTCAGAAGAAAAACAGTAAAGGAAAAAATGACAGTTTAGATAGCAATAGAATCTGTGGGAAAGGTATTGAAAGAGGTCACGGCACAAAAATATCTGTGGAAAACCAGACACAGTTCTCAGTTAATAAAAGCTTAATGACTGTAAGGACTAAACTATTTTCAGTTAAAGATGTATAGCAGACATAGCTGCAGTAATATTATTGTTTACTTAATGTATGTCTTCCCAAAGAATTTTAAGATATTAAAACCAGCAACAATTCCCAATTAGGTATTAGAATTTCAGCCAAAAACATTATCAAACACTTGTTTTACCATATGCATTACATTAGTATTGCATAAATTATTGAAGACTGATTAAATATGCATGTGTCTATCCAAGCAGGTTTTTCCTCAAAACGCAGCCTCTTGCTTTCTGCTATTTTCAATATTTGTTTAAATTTGGTGCCTCATATCAACTAATTATGAATTCCTTACACCACAGCGTACTACCTGTCACTGAGGGAAGAGAAAAGGGAAGGCCGTTTCATGCTTCATTTGCTATTGACAGCATCTCACTGGGGCTTGTCTGCTTTGCAGTTTGACAAAAACTACTCTGTGGAACACGTGTCCAGCAGATATAGAATTAATAGCCAAGAGCACTAACAGATGATCAACAAGACACATCATTCTCTTGGCCAAGCTACCCAAACCCCTGAGCCAACACCTCCTCCAGCGAGGTGGACACTAACAGCACAGGAGGTAGCAGTTCCCAGTTCCTCTGCATTTACCTGAGTCATGGGGTGATCTGCGGGAGCATTTCAGGCACAAATTTAGCACACTCAGATGGCAAGTGGCACATTCAGCTGGAGTCACAGACATCAACAGAGGTACGACAGCAAGATGGTCAATGTGCAGGGACTTCTGAATTGGGATGCTTTTGAAGGCACTCTGAGGCCTAGGGAAATGGAAGTATAATGGTACCCAGCTGAAGGATAGAGGATAAGATGGCAGTATGCCCTAATCCTGAACACATACATGCCTAAGTACTGGAACAGAAGTTGCTGCCATTGCCATCACCCCAGCAGAGGTAGCCAGGCAATCCAAATCTGGGAAACTATGATAGTTTCTTTTCTCAGTTCTCTGCTTTAATAAGATTTGAAGAAAAAAAAATCTGAAGGACAGGAAAAAAATGTTCTCTAACTTGGGCCTAATTACATTTGAAGCTTTTGTTGAAGCCATAACCTGAATCATTGCCCTCAATATATTGTGACAAAATACCTCCCAATACTACCTCCTCACAAAAAGGAAAACCTGTGTACTTTATACTAATAGACACTTTGTAACTACAATATTTGACATATAACAATATTTCAACTTTATAAGGACCAAACCTGACCCTAAACCATTGCAGAAGTTTAACAGAAGCAGATGTGGAGTCAAATGCAGGTGAGGGTGCTGCAGAGCTGCATGGTCACGTACCCGTCCCAGAGCTGCGAAGGTGAATTCCCAGCAAGAGCTACTAATTGGGAAAGGCAGCTGAGGGAAGGCGAGGGGCCCTTCCATACCTCATTAGTTTGTCCTTTGTCCTCACTCCCACACCCAGAAACTTTCTGCTGGACATACTAATGGTAGCTGAAAATAATCTTGGAATATGGATATTTGAAAAAGTTACTATATGAACTACATTAGGACAGTGTAGCTCCATTCACAAATCAAACAAAAACCTGTTGCACTGAAAAAAGAAATTATCACAAGTTAACTTGCTACGTCTTCCACATTTTGCTTCTTTTTTCTTTTTGCTTTTTTATATTTTGCTTTCAGTACCATCCTAATTTCCACACACAAAATGTTTTAAAGATCAAGTATCTTAAATGCTGGAGTTACAACAAATGAAAAGAGCCCAAGTTCTGAGCAGTCAGTCACATATTACCATTTCTACCTGCATTCACAATGTCTCAGGTTACAGGCACTAGAATTCCTAATGGTTTGTTAACAAAGCATCCATATTTTCCCTCTACATCAATACTGGCATTACATATCCATTCATCTCCAACAAAGAGGTATCTTTTAAATTTTGTTAATATTCTTATACTCAAAGTGTATCTTTGATTTAGCAACATGACCTGTTAAGAAAGAGATGTCAAACACCTCATAATACAAGTACTACTACAGCTAGCATGTTTCCTTGCCTGTTCTTGGATTATTTTCTTTTGCCACAGTCAACTATATAACACACAATATATTCCACTAAAGTTTTGCTGATCCTTTCTTTCTGGCTACATGAAGTTTTTTTGTGTTGTACAAATGGTTGCAATGAGAAAATATACCTACAGCTTGTAATACAGTGAGATGAAGCAGTGGCTGGAGATGAAATTTAGAGATGATCAATGAGACAGATTTTTTGTTGTTATTGTAAAACATTTAAAGAGGCATTAATACACATAAATAACTAATAGTGTCTCTTTTCCTAAGGATTTGGAAAAACGTTTTGAACTTGTTTAATAAAACAGAGCTAAGACGTTAAGAATTATGCACAGAAACACCTTAAGTATTTTTATTCTTATTATTCTTGTTGGTTTTGTTGTTGTTACTACTGCTATTAAAAACATTTTAGTATGTGTTATGCCAATATTCCATCTTTTTTTTTAATGCACATTTTTAGCCCTTACATGCAGAGGTTGCAAGCAGCAAAATAAAAGTGAACTATATTAAAGCCAGATATTCATTTTAGCTATTCCAAGATTCAAAACATTCTATCATCTGTTCCTATGGAAACTGAAAGGATATTCTAGGTTATATCAGTATCAGCCGATTATGTTGCAGAGAAATCTGTGGTTTATTTTAATCCATAGTTCAGAGGTATAAATTCATGCTTAGTGTTCAGCTGGTGACTTTCATTACTTGAAGAACGGTTAACACTTCAGTTTCATTAGATCATACTTTAAGATAAAATGAACTCTTTTCAGACCAAAATGGTAAAGGGAAAATTTCATAAGGTTAGGTTAATCCCCATGAAGTTTACCATTCAAATGTAGGATATAACTAATACATACTTGAAAGATATTTTTTGGTTGTCAGATGAGCTATACATTGCTATATCCCATCTTAACATAATAGTCTGAGGAAGAAATAATTCAGACTTATTGAAAACTCCTTCAGTAGTGCCATGCACCAGATGGCCAGATGAAGGAATCTGATTTAGCAAGTTAACAAGATCACGAAAACCATAACCATAATATTGAAGATGAAAAATAAAATCAAATAATCCAACATGAGTATGTTTCTGTGAAAAAGAAACTTAAAGGTTAGGACAGAGTTAAACTTGCAAAGTTACATAAACCTATGAAGTGAAAATTCTCTATATGCATACAGAACTATTGTAAAAGAAAAATACATAAACAGTACAAGCTAGTAGGATTTTAATTAAGCAGACTCAAATGCCATTGTGATCTTTTACAAGGAAAGCCATTATGATGGCTATAACGTGCTGAAATAAATCTTTGTCTATATTAGAATTCCAAAAGCAGTAAAATGGGTGGCTAACATGAATTTAAATAAAAAGCTTTGGATCTCATCCTTTGTCTTCACTAAGCAAAACCAGATGATTTAAAGTTAACTATAGCTACCACCCCCACCCTATGCCAAAAGTAGTAAGCAGGTTGAGATTTTCCTTTTTACCAATAATACTTCAGTCTTCTTACTCTAGATTCAAGTAACTGACTTCAAACTGAATAATCAAAAATTCCTTCCATTTCTATATCATATTGTAGTCAATCACTTTATTATGAAATAGCTGTCTCAGTCTAGTTTCCATCAGGATCTCCTCTAGGGAATCAAGATTGTGGAATAATAAGGAAACATAATATCTACTGTCTAGAGTGTACTATATTCGTTAAATTTTTGACAGTGATGAGGTTAAATTCCAACTTCTGGCTTTCAATGTAAAAATAAATGTCAGAAAAACAACAACAACAACAAAAAACCCTACTCTGTGATTCTGTGACTTCTTTGCATACTCTGGGTAGCATTTCAACTCTAGTTTTTCCAGACTTTTTATGAGGATAACCTACAGTATATGGATAAAAAGATGACTGGTTGTATGCCAAATTGGAGGGATTATTTTCTCATATTTTTCTACTTCATTTGCTATTAAAATGGTAATTTTGTAATTACGCATACATATG